TGGAATCCCTCGCCCCGGACCCGAGAAAGCGCCTGTAGTTCCAAACGACGCAACCCGCAACGCAGTGGTGCGAGAATGTTGCTGGGATCGAGGCGTGGAGCGTTAGATTGGAGTGGGCGGCTCGGGACCTAGACGGTGAGTTCGTGCTGCTTGGCTCGTTTGGGGAGCTCCCTGGGGTTGGAGTAGGCCATACCTTCGCTGAGCGCCGACGGAGGGTCGTAGTAGATGGCGCAGGACTGGCCCTCGATGCTGCACACTGATTCCTCGGGCGTCCGCGAGACCTCCACCTCGCAGCCATCGCTGTGCTCGCCCACCCCGCGTCCAAACCGGAACGACCGGTTCCGCAACAGGGTCTGAAATAAAGAGAAATCATCAATCCTAGTCTGACAGATACAAATCAGAGGATCCCGATCTTCACTGGAAAAAAAAAAAAAAAAAAAAAAAAAAAAAAAAAAAAAACCACATTGGATTTAGAGTCCAGACTCTTGAAAACATTGACAAGAAAAAATACTCTTGATTCAATCGGATTTTTGCTTGAATCAAAACTAAATCCGCTTAAATTAAGAGGCTTGGTTCTTGATTTAAGCTAGATTCTGATTGAATCAAGAGTACTTTTTCTTGTCGATGTTTTCAAGAGTCTTGACTCTAGATCCAATGTGTTTTTTTTCCCAGTGTTATGTTTGATGAAACAGCATCAGAGATCGGAAGAAAGAGAAGAAATACAAGAAGTGAAAGAGGATAAGCAGCGGCGTGGCGCAATTTGCGATATATCGATTGATTTGCCATTTAAAACTGTATAAAAAAGGATCGATTAACAGGGTGTTCGTAACAGACACCTTAATCGAGTCTTTACCATAGCTTCAAACGGGGAAATATCGATAATTAATCATTCACACCTCGCCACTGAGGAATAAGAAAGGTCGGGCAAGACAAAGATGGAGGAGATGATGAAAAAGAATCGGAAAGAGAGGATGAGGGGACCTAAGAAAAGAAACATAAGAAAAAGGAGAAGAGGAACAGCAGCAGTAGATTTTCTCTTTCTATTATCTCTGGATATTTTTCTTCTGTTTCTTTATCTTCTTTCTCTTCTTCTCTATTTTCTTTACTGTGTCTCCTCTTCGGCTTGCAATTTGTAATGCGCTCCCGTCTGATATAATATGTGAAGAGTCGTTAGCTATTGCACTCATTTTAATCTTCTTAAGATCTAGAGATCAGGGGAAGGAACAATGAAAGGGAGATGAGGAAGGTGAGAGAAAAGGAGGAGCGAAGAAGAAGAATAAGGGAGAGTTGGAGGATAAATAATATGAAAGGGGACAGATACGAAGAAGAATGAAAAGCAAGAGGTGTAGAAGAAGGCAAGGCGCAGGGGTAAAAGTGAAAGAGAATGAAGGAGCGAACAGGGACGAAAAAGAATTTATTTTCCCCCGTTCTTTTCTCTTTTTAATCTCCTCCTCTTTTTCGCCCTTTTTTCTTCTTCGTCTCCTTCTTTTTCTTATTTCTTCATCCCTTTATGCATCTTTATCTTATTTTGTGTGAATTCTTCTACAATATCCTGTTGATGGATATGCTGGTGTTTGCCGCGAACACCTCGGAAGGCACCGCGGTACCGGAGAAAAATATGGCACTGGGCTCAATCGACTTGATAACGCCGCTTCATTAGCTACGTCATGATGGATGAGTCCCTGAGTATTGATCATTATCTACCTCCCTCTCGGCAGGGGAGGCGATCGGGAACATAATAATCGGCACCAGGGAGATATTATTTATTGAACTTAAGCCAAAGTTGCACATAAATTGTGACGGCAACGGGGGCGGCTACGCTCGTTGCTGCAGCCAGTTCTCGGTAAAATATGAAAAATACCGATTCAAAATGCGCGTACATTTTAAAATGTTCAGCGTGATGGGCATATTTTTTCGGAAAAAGACAAGAAATAAACACTAAAAAATGTCACAAACCGATTGCAGTAGACGCACGGGTCGTTTATATAAAAAGTTGGTAATGTGGGCAACGTGCATTAAAAATTAGCGTGAAGCTGAAAATCTTAATACAGAGGGACACCCATTATTTTAATGTAAAGAGTTTATTTGATTTCCAAAATACATATTATTAATAGACACATTATTATTGAATATGTTTTTATTATAGTAATTTTTCGATAATAGTTTTCATCAAAATTATGCTCATATTAATTGTGCTCATATGAGCACAATTTTCCATCAAAGAGGTATGCTGCTCGGTGTAACACTAGGATGGAGCACAATGGAAGAGGTAAGCAGTGTTACTTGCCCAGATTGGCAACTCTGGGTTCGGCCCCTTTAAATGTATGTAAAAATTTGAAATATATAAAAGCAGGCTGTTTCACATGGAATTGATTATTTATGATAGATTCAAATGATGAGAGAACCGTGGTGCCAACTTGCAATAAAACTGAATTTAGAATTTAGAAATTCCTTCTGGCCTGATTCGGCTCATGAAAGTTTAAACTGTTTTTACGCAGTTAAAAATCAAATTTCTGAGGTTATCTGTCTTAGGGAATTTTAATTTGAGACAAGTAATTCTATGGATCCATATTTGTTTCCCTCAGAAATATCTGCTACACTCTCCACCTTTTGCAATTGGTTTCAATGATTGAGGTTTTATTTTTTTTAGGTTTTGTTTCTGAGGTTTAGCCGAGGTTTTATTTTTGATATTTTCATTAATTTCAAACTTCGTCATTTATTCTTTGAAAGAATCTAAAATGAAAGTTGCTATTCTACCCTTGTCGTGTTAAAACTTTGCAAGTGATCTTACCTGCAAGGAAAATCTTCGATGGGCCACTTTACGGCCACCACGTTTCTTCGAAATGTGAGGATTGTTGTAGCGCAAGGTTTTATTTTTCAATACTTCTAGCTGCGTGTAGACTCTTTTTAGCTCCGTCTGTAACCGAAAAAGCAAAAATGGGTAAAATTTGGTCTTATTTTTAAAAAAAATTACCAGAAATCAGTCCAACATATCCGAATGAAAGAAATATATTAAAGCGCTCCTCTACACAGAATTTGAAAATAAAAACAAAAAAACTAAAATCATCAGCCATCATAATGCGGCATGATCACTGACTCATTTTTGCCAAAATTTTCAGTCAGGCGATATTTTTCCTCAGCCCCCAGTATGAACCTTCGACCGTCGCCGAAAAACGCACATTTCCTGGGAAACTAGTCCCTATTTTTCGTCCAATTTTTCAGAGAATATTCCTCGCTATTAATTAATTCTAGATATTCCATTTTGTATTTTGGAAGCAAAACTTCCTTAACTTTCCTGAAAAAATCAATATTGTATTGGAGGAAATTTGGTATTCCGTTGCATAGTAAAAGTGGACAGAGTTTTTCAGTACGGAACCACTATTTCTAGCTCATTTTAGAAACAACATATATGTCATTGGTTTCCTATGTAGGAAGGTGCTTTCACAGATGAGTCAGAGATAATGGTTCCTCATTGCAAAATGCAATCCAATAATAGTTAACAATATGAATTTTTCCCTTGTTCAGATAATAACTCGGTCGAAAAGATAGTTCAGCGGGTCACATGATGATTTGTTATCGATTGACCCCGATCGATGAATCTGATTCTCAGCAATGCTCTCAATCGATTAAGCTCCGATCGATAAAGATTCAACAAACTGAGCGCAGGGCGCATTAATTCATGTTTGGGTAGATTTACGAAGGTGTTCCCGACAACAAAAGTTCCCGACTGAACCCGGCGCCGTCCTGGGATCCGTGTAGGCAACCCGCAAATCACTGTTCCACCGACGCGACACATGGTCCCTACCCCCCTACCCCCTCCTCCCGCGATGTTAAGTCCGAGAAGGGACGAGGGATGTGGGTGGGCGGAGGGGTGGGGGGATTTGAGTGATAGGCGCTCATTCCCATGCCACTTGAAGCATGATGCTCATTGCTACACTGTGAATAATGACACATCGTTGTCAGTTGCTACGATATAGACTGACGTCATACTGTCCCTTTATCGGTCACGAGATCTTGGACGTTCGGGAATCTTGGCTTGATTTAGTGACCGCGGTTTTGCACGATCATATAACGCGGGTAACAAGGCCGACAAACAAAATGCAAAAAAGAACGACTATTTCTGGCTATTTATCAAAAAAAAAAAAATGCGGCATGAGTTCTCCGGTGCAGATAAGTATTTTTACAGATAACAATGCCAAAGGAATAATACTGCCTAACTGAGAATTTTAGCGGAAATGAGTCAGGGAAGTTGCCGCATTCTAGAATAAAATACGCAAGCTTAAGTTTTTAATTTTTACTAATTCCGCATCGAAGCGCTGTGACGACGCTGCAATGTATAAAAAATTGCAAATTAAACCTTTAAATTACAATCATTTCGAAGTTTTTTCTTCGCGCTGTCAAATCGTCGGTTTGCAGGTAGGCGGTCAGCCAAAAATGGTGGTTCCTAGTTGCAAAATGTACTCCAACCCAAGTCACTATTTTCACAGTGAAAGGGCCAATTTTCTTGTGCGAGAAAACAAAAAACAACAACCCAATGAATTCGTGCACAAACAGCGAACGAAGCATTTTTTTCTATGATCTGTGTCGAAGTTAAATGGGCCGAAAGATATTACCCGATCAATAACTTCTTTTTATCGGTTCAAAATTAGCCTGGAGTACTTTTCGAACCCAACATTCTCAATTCAATTACGATAAAATGGTCGATGTTTAGCGACAAAAATCAGAGTCCTTTTCAGCATGAACTTTCAATTGTATGGGCGAGCGCCTTTTTACCGAACCTCATGACATGAAATGAATAAACCTTTTCTGTTTGGAGCTGTGCAAATATACAAGGGATTAAGTACCTATACAAAGGGGGAATATTGTCAATCTGGCCATAAAGTCTAATAGCGCTCAATATGAGCAAATATCCATATTGGTTGATTGGCCCACTGCCAGACGTCCCGCAACAGAGGGCGCAATAACGTTGCCAATAACACTGTAATTGGACGTATTTCTATCAAACGGAACTGTGTGCATTAAGACATGGGCCCTGAGACCCATAAGAATATGTGCATAACAGGGCTCACGTCATAATGCACATAGTTCCGTTTGATAGCAATACGTCCAATTGGAATAGTTACCACTCGTAGAGCTGTCATTACAAGTTTTGGTGGCGCGGAGTGGCGTGTTTTGCGATTTATCGATTAATCTACCATTTAAACCTACGGAAAAGGATCGACAAACAGGGTGTTCCCAACGAACATTTTAATAATCGATTCTCTACCATAGCTTTAAATGGGGAAATATCGATAATCGATCATTCATGCCTCGCCAATGTTACGCTTTTGGTCTTTGTCTCTCAAATTGTTTAATTTACAACTATTGATAGTTAAACTCGAAGACCAAGTAACGCGCGAAGAGGTTATTGCTTTCTTGGGTTGTGACGTTGCAAATGTTCCATTAAATTTTCATTATTTGCGCGGATGAAAGATGAATTTGACCTTAGCATACCGGAAATTCTGCAACACGTACCAAACTCACAAACTAAGGTACGTAATTTCAAACTCAATTTTGGTGAGTGCTGAGTGCACATCTTTGGTCAACATGAATGCAATACGCTGAAGAATGCAAAATAAGGAAATCTACAGCAATGATACCGTCTTTGAATTAAATCTAAAACACACACAATTTTATAATCATAAGGTTTTCTTTCAATATTTAATTATTTAAAATCGAATTATTCATAAATGTTTTACGAACATTTATACATACGAAAAGATTCCACAAATGTTTGCACAAATACTAAAGCTATAGCGAAATTGAATTTTGCAGTGTTAAAACACAGTTCCTAAAAAAAGTTATTTAAAATTACAACCCGACATGTTCTGGGGACGGCATTGTCGGATTGCAAATTCACACCTTCTAATGACAAACAAGTAAATAATCTAAACGAATCGAGACTTAGGTACTTCAATGAAATTTGGTGTTTCCGTCGAATGAAATTCCTAAATAATTTGTATCCCTTTTTGAGGATTTCAGGGGCTTTTATCTACATCGGCTAAAATAAAACCCATGGTAATACACGCCTCTGGTATATATTGTAGCTTAATTTAATGATGGGATTGTTCCTACAGCATTGTCTTCGTACATTATAGATGTGAACTTACCAACTGTGTATTGCCGAAACCAGCTTTGAACTCAAACCAAACATCATACAGAGGCTTTTTCCATTTGGACCGCGTTCATTAGCAGAAAGGTCGTACCAAACCACATCAGATATTACCAAATTTAACTGGGAAATTCAATTTTTTACAAGGAAACGTTTGTGCGGATTCCTTTGAAAACTTTAAAAAATTTGCTTTGAACGATGCAGAAAATTCACTGAATTTTCACTTCAATCCGCACAACCGTTTTCATGTGAAAAATTGAATTGTCCAATTGAATTTGGCAATAGCTGCTGTGGCTTGGTTCCATTCAGCTGAACGCGGTCCATTTCTACGTTTCATTTCAACCACATTTCAGTTGGAAACTACATTTTGCATTAGGGAACGACACTTTTTGGCTCATTTCAGTCTCCCTGTGAAGACAGGTGCTTTTGTAGGCTCAAACGAGCACATCTCATCTTTTCCACACGTCCTTTAGTATAAATATGTCCACTTATTGTGACTCGAAATAAATTTTCAGTCACCCACAAGTGCTCTATTAGTCGTAACTGTGGCAACGCCAGCGCCAATATGCAGCATCAAGCGCATAGCAGCGCCGGGCGGGTAGCCCACCCGCGAAACCACTCACCCCTATTAGCCGGCTAAATTTGTCGGGCGCAGGGCCCGCTGATGGGGCAGTTTGCGACTAATTCAATCTTTGGAACTGACGCAAACATCATCCGGACGTCAAACACGACGAGGCGCTGCATAGACACCAGTTGAGCAGAAGAATCCCACTAAACCGCGCTAAAAATGAGGTCACCACGGTAACACGCGGCAACAGTGGAAACACGGTTATCAATTTGTGCACTTTCGCATTAGACATAATACAAAATAGAAATGTTTTATCGCACGATGTGAAAACTCCGGTCGGCAAACAATGCGCGTGTGTCTACACGCGATCATCGGAATAACATTCGATGAGTGCCTATCGGCCGGAGCAATCAAGCCCGCATCACTGCAGCTCTTAACAAGAACAACGTATCTTCGATTGAATCTATATGGAGGTACGTGGTTTTTGCTGGAAACGGCGGATAAGTCCACTGAACCATCCGGGGATCGTCCGATGGGCGCGCGATGGAAAAAAAATCCGCCTATCGTCAGCTGTGAGGGATCCTTAGGTTTTTCGCTGAGAGCCGGCGGCTGGGGAGGGATTTGAAGCCGAGTTTTTTTCAGTCGATTGGACTTCCTCGATGAGGCTTTTGAATCCGATTTTCCCGCTGGAAATCGAGCGATATTCAATCGTCATTTTTTGAACAAGGCACTGAGCTTATTCTAAAGAGCTCTAGAGGGTGTCTCTGTAAATCAGCGATATTAAAGAAATATTTTCCAGTCCGTCAAATGTTGAGAAGGAAAAAAGGAACAGGGTAATTCTACATGCCTGTTACACTACTTCTTAAGAAACGAATTTTAAGGCTAGACGTCGTAGAATAGGATAGAAGCCAGCTGTTGATACATCAGCATCATGTGATAATGTGCACTAGGAAGTACTGTAGAATTATATACATTTCTTAGCAATAATACAACTATAAACACAAGAAAATCGGTTAGCAAGGTTGAAAACCAAACATAAAGCCTGAGATGTTTCGGGGTGGTTTCAATCCTCCCTTCGACTGGGAAACAAAAAATATATACATTTATAGAAATCAAGACCCTTGCACCTCCATTTGTGATTATGAAAAGGAGCCTAAGGGTCATGCTTTTTATATATTTTTTGTCTCCTGGTCGAGAA